GAGAGCGAGAGGCAGTTGCTTGTTAAGCTTAACGTGGGAATGCTTTACAAACATTCAGAGATGGACTTACACACTTGCTTTACTTCTCTCGGGGATAACTTTGTCGGAGATGAAATGCCAGGTTGCTAGCGAAGCTCCACATGCTATCCAGACCACCGACAGGTCCTGCATGCCACAGCTGCTCTATCACGTGATGCATACGTTCTGAGGTGAGTTACGGCGTGTTGCAAGTTTTGTGAGGTGCTTTCGTGATATTTAATGGATCGGATTACATTTTTTATTTTTCTCCGATATCCGATCCAGTAATTTAGGTCAGTATCGGACCGATACCAATACGTAATATCGGATCGGTCCATCTCTAATCTTGATGAAAAAATGAGGAAGTTATGTGATTGTCAGTTTGTCCCTTTTTTCTCTCATAGGTCTGCTCATAGACATAAAGCTCACTGGCATTATAAGTCTGAGGAAGGGTGAGACTCTGACCTGCTCTGCTAAAAGTTTTCCTCCATCTCAGATTGTGTGGTCTAAACTTAGTTATAACCAAGGGCGTAGATTTGGCATGCACGGAAGGGACATATCCCCACCAATATCCTGTGATTATTGAATTGTCCCCACCAATAATTTGATCTCTTCGAGTAAAAAAAACAAAACCGATTGAAAGGAAAAAAAACGATCTGTCAAAATTTTATTCACCTAGCGGTGCAGAAAGAGTTAAATTACGTTCTCTACTGGAGTCCTACCTCATGTAACAAATATGGCCAATGTGATTGGCTGTGCCTTTCGGGGAGCTCTGTTTAGTTTTAGTAGCGGCAAGCCTGCGCTGCGAGGACCCGCAAGGAGGAGAGGACGATGGCAGCAAAAAGGAAGAACCTGGAAGAAACCTATAAGTCACTTAAAGTCAAGTTCACTCATAAAATGTGTCCGTCATAATAACATTACAGGCTATGCTAGGCCGTGCCAACTCTCCTGATTTTTCCGGGATAATCCAGTGCCCCTCCCAAACATCTTCCAGAGCCACGATTCTCCCCAATTTCTCCTGATTTTCCACCTGGACAACAAAATTGAAAAACCATATCCAAGATTGGCCCAGCCAATTCCAGTTTCCAACAATGGCTACTACTACTGCAGGTACTTAGTTTTAATATTACTCTTATCACTCTTTCTGGGTCGCAAAATAAACTTTTAACATATTTTCAGGTGAGAATGTAGCTGTGTAAACTTCAAATATATGAGGTGACGAGAACAGCAAACTCTGGGCACATTGTTTTCAAACCCTCGCGGTCTTTCGCTACTCGGGTTAGACATGATATATAAGTCACTTTGATAACCTAAAAATGTTATTGTTTCGCTTTTACAGTGTTTTATTTGTTCGTAAGTAAATCGGTTTGGCTGAGATTAAAGTTATTAGATTAGATTAAATGTAACTTTATTAATCCCTCAGGAGGGTTCCTCCGGGGTTTTCACACAGCTGAATAAACGTCAAACAGAAAACTGATTAAACAGAAGTGTGAGATGGTCAAGAATTTACGCCAGCTTCCGGTTATATTTTAGATATCCAGCATGTCCTGGGTCTGCCCCGGGGCCTCCTCCCAGTGGAACACCTCACCCAGGAAGCATCTTTGTTAGATGCCTGAACCACCTCAACTGGCTACTTTTCGATGAGGAGGAGAAGTGGCTCTACTGTGAGCCCCTCCCGGATGGCCGTACTTCTCACCCTATCTTTAAGGGAGAGGCTAGCTACCCTTTGGACGAAGCCCATTTCTGTCGCTTGTATCCGTTCTTTTGGTCACTACTCACAGCTCCTGACCATAGGTGAAGGTAGTGACGTAGATCGACTGGTAAATCAAGAGTGGTACAGAGTCCACATCACTGCAGCTGCGGCAACCAATCCATCTGTCAATCTCCCGCTCCCTTCTCCCGTCACCCGTGAACAAGATCCCGAGACACTTAAATTCAGTGGTTCCCAATGTGCGGGGTGCACCCCCTGAAGGAAGGGGGGGGGGGGTGCAGAGCCATTGCAGGGGGTTGTGGTATAAATTTATGTTGTTCTTTTCTTAAAATACCAGTACCACGTGAGAACAAGAAATATATAATTTTCTGTTGTACCCCTCACATTACATACATAATACCTTTCACAAACCTAAAGCATCACTCATTTCACGTCTATTTGTGCTTAATGGAGTCAGAGTAAACTGGATCCACACTCGGTGCCCAGCGAATGCTCGCAACGCAGGGGGAACAAATTTTGTTTGGTTATACCTACCTTACCACAATACTGATCCTGCCACAATTTGCTCCCCCGGTTCAAATCACAGACAGACACTATTCCACAGGAGCTTGTTCCTGATCTGGAGTGGGGACTCCATCCTTTTCCGGCTGATGACCATGGCCTCCGATTTAAAGGTGCTGATTCTCATTCCCACCCCTTCACACTTGGCTGTGAACCATTCCAGAGTAAGTTGGAGGCCATGAGATTCTGAGATCACGCAAGTGAAATCCTTTCATCACTTGGCTATGCCTAGAAATCCGATACATAAAAATTATGAACAGAATCGGTGACAAAGGGCAGCCCTGGCAGAGCCCATCACCCAACAGCTGAGCCATGAGCTTCCCAAATACAAGCAGTATATTAAATGCCCGACCAGAGAGGAGAGGACATTAGACCACTGTTACAGCACGATCAGCGGGGCCTATCGTGCGGTGCCCTGCGCTTCACTCGGACTTTCTGACCACGTCATGATCCATCTAATCCCCGCGTACAGACAGAGGCTGAAGCTCTCCAAACCTGTCGTGAGGACCAAAAAACTGTGGAGCAACGAGGCTGTGGAGGAGCTTCGCACGTGTTTGGAGTCTACAGACTGGGACACAATGAAGGCTGCTTCTAACAGCTTGGACGAGTTTACGGACACTGTCACCTCCTATATCCACTTCTGTGAGGACAGCATTGTGCCATCACGCACCAGGGTGAGTTATAACAATGACAAACCCTGGTTTACTCCTAAACTCAAAAAGCTGTGGCTGGAAAAGAGAAAGGCGTTCAGAAGCGGAGACAGGGACTGCTACAGAGAGGCCAAGTACAGGTTCACTAAAGAAGTGGACATTGCTAAACACCAGCACTCTGAGAAGATGCAGCAGCAGATCTCAGAGAATGACTCGGCCTCTGTGTGGAAAGGTTTTAGGAATATCACCAACTACAAGCCTAAAACCCCCCACTCCACTGATGACTTGCTCTTGGCCAACACCCTCAACGACTTTTACTGCCATTTTGACGAGCCATCAGGCAGCCTTCACACCTCCAACGGCCCCAGCAATAGAGACACTTTGGACACTCATTCCCCCACCTCTCCCCCCTCCACAGAGCCATCACCACCTTCAAACACTTCACCTACAACACCCCCTCCTCACCCCACACAAAAGAGGATTTCACACCACCTCCTCCCACCACAACTCTTCATATTCATGAAGCAGATGTGAGGAAGCAGTTTAAGAGTCTGAATGCTCGAAAAGCTCCCGGCCCAGACGGTGTGTCTCCTGCCACCCTCAGACACTGTGCAAACGAGCTGGCCCCAGTGTTTTCTGGCATTTTCAACTCCTCACTGCAGGCATGTCATGTGCCTGCCTGCTTCAAGTCCTCTACCATAATCCCTGTCCCCAAGAAACCTAGGATCACTGGACTAAATGACTACAGACCCGTGGCTCTGACATCTGTGGTCATGAAGTCATTTGAGCGCCTGGTTCTCTCCTATCTCACATCACCTCTGTGGACTCATTCCGCTTCCTGGGTACCACCATCACCCAGGACCTGAAGTGGGAGCCCACCATCACCTCCGTCATTAAGAAAGCCCAGCAGAGGATGTACTTAATTTATCAGCTCCCTTTTATCTCAGGGGATAGTACAGCAGATTGATCAGCATATTTGGTGCAGCCTCCTCCATTTATTTGAGCTCAGAACAAGGCTGTTCGTGAGAAACATTTTCATACAGTATTAAGAAGTATTAATAAGTGTACCTGAAAGAGTTGGTATAAAATGTTTACATTTAAGTATAAGCTTCTGACCTGCAGTTGAGCACTGTGAGAAAACTACTTCACACTGATCACAAAGACAGAGTACAGTAGAGGTTCATAAGAAAGAGGAAGTGTCAGTTGAAAGCAGAGAAATTCTGTATCATTGTAAAGAAAAAAAAACACATTTTAATGATTATATTAAATATTACATTTAAAATATAAACTTAAATCTTAACAGGAAAACATTTTTCTGCTTCCAACAAAATGATCAGTGTTTTAAACACACATCGTCCTTTTATTTTAACTTTAGCTCAAAGCTAATTGTGGTTTATCACCTTTTATTATATTTGGCATTTGCAGAGAGGCTGCAACACTTCTGCATATGTGGACATGAAATATGCAGAAGTGAATATTCTTAAGCTCTTTAATGCATTCAATGTTTTAATTCAATCATTTAATCTTTTACACTGAGTAAATAAGAAAGTACTTTGATAGCAATATAATCACGCTGTATGGGTTGTATAAAGCTCAGGTAATATAAAAATAAGCTATGTCCTATACGAGTCTTTTTTTTCCACTCTAATATTGAATTGAATATTGATTTATTGATTTGCATTCAAATATCTCCGTGAATATAGAATAAAGATCTACCACAAAGCACAAAAGCAAAGACAAGGCTAATCAAAAGGTATCGGCTGAAGCATATTCTTATTACGCATATTGAGGTTGTAAAGTGCCTTGAGGTGAATGGTGATGACTTGATGCTATATGAATATATAAAACTTGTTTGAGCATCATTACTGGAATATCAAATCTCAAGATAATACAGTGGGTTTAAAAAAAAGGTAAATTATGTAATAAACAATGAACATTTTATAATTATACCAGAGGAACAAGAATGTGAGTCTTTAAAGTTGAGTGGTTTACTGACAGACTTCCTTGTTGCAAGAATGAGGAAGAAAAAGAGAAGAGAGGCGACGATGAAAAACTTTAGTCAGCAAACATCAGTGAGAAGAGAAGCTTGAAGAACAAAGCAAAGCAGGTAAAAAAAAGGTTTAAAGTCTTTCTATCTTTTTAAAAAAAGAAATGTAAAGACTTTTTCACATATGTAGAAGCGCTGGTGAATAAGACCATTATTTATTAATTAAATTGTATGACTGACCCAATGCTGTCCTCTTATTTGGCAGTTAATATAAATTTATTTATTATTACAAGTAATTATTATTGTATTATATTATTGTATTGGTGCTATTGCTGCACTGTGATTATAATTTTTATTTTTTAAACAATATCTAGAAACAGATGTCACAAAGGTCTTTTTCATAAAGAATGCTGGAGTATTGGTATATTTGTGTCACAGTTTGTAAAGGACACATTGCTTTGTCTCAAAGCTAAGCACGCAACATCTTTTATTGAGCTGTGATTTGAATTGTTGACTTTTTCTTTCTTTGTTTTGATTTCTGCATGTTTGCTTCATCTGCTGGATAAGTTATCCTGTGGAGGGAGAGACTGAACGTCTCGAGCATTGAAAATGTTTCTTCTCATCTGGTCGGCTCTGTTTGTCTCTGTAAAAGGAAGCATTGCTGACACGGGTTTGTATCTTGTCCTTTACTGTAATTCTGATAAACTTGTGCCTTTACTATCATCTATTGGCTTGTGTGCCATTTTAATTTAATGTTTTGAACATTATAGTAGTTGTGGAGTACAGCACAAACAAGCAGCCCGTGTAAAAGATAAAAGTTATTTCAGTGTCTCTAATTAGACATGTTTATTGTAAAGTAAATATTCTTTATCACTATATTTATCTTTCCCTTTGCATTAACAGGTGCCTCAGCCTGGGCACAACAACACTGTTACGACAAAGGATACTGTATTAATCTCACTGGGCGGGAACTAACAGCAGAAGCTGGACTCTGTGTTGTGATCCCGTGTTCTTTCACTACTGCTGATGAGTTTACACCCAAACATATAGTTTGGTACAAATGTGAAGCATCTCAAAAATTTTGCAGTGATGCTGACATAATATTTCACAGCAACAAAAACACAGACAAAAAAGCTCAGTCTGGGTTTGAAGGACGAGTCTCACGTTTGGAGCCTGATGTGAGTCAGAACAACTGCAGCATCATCATTAATGATCTGAAAGAGTCTGATTTTGGATCATATCAGTTCAGAGTTACTGGTGAACTGAATGGACAACAAGGTGGATTCACATTCATTCCAAGAGTAACTGTCTCTGTTAAAGGTATGAAAATCTATTCCAAGGACAATCATATAGAAAAAAAACATTCAGTCATTTACAATAGCATATTTTGTATTTTATGGTCTTAATGAAGTATACATTCTTTTGGGGAATTCTTGACCTCTATGGTAGCTGGTAGGAAATGTAGCAGTTCCTGATAAAACCTGTGCTTCCTATTAACCATTTTCATTTAATATTTTAATATTTGAGCCCAGATTAATGTGATAGATCAGACCTTCCCAAAGTGTGGGGCCCGCCCCCTAGGAGGGGCACAGAGCCATTGCAGGGGGGGGGCTTGGCATGAAAAGGGGAAAAAAAACAAAACAACGCTTGGACACTGCTAGCACGGGGCGCACGCACAAATGCAAAGCAGGAGATGAAGCATAGCTGAATATGCTTCCAAACCAACTTCATTCTAAGCCAAAGACTAGAAAATATGGTGAAGCAAGTGCCAAGGTAGGTCTCCCCTGCAAAATTGGTTTTCCCTTCGTCTGGAGCATCGCTGGGCTCTTCAAATCATGGACAAACAGCGTCCCACATTCTTGATTTTTAGTTCACAAACACATCTTGTGATGACTAACTACTCCTGACATTTTGGAGATGTTAGCTCTTTATACAGTAAAGTTACAGTGGGATACAAATAACATCAGGCTGATCCTGCCACGATTTGTTCCCCCTGTCTAAATCACGGACAAACAGGATCCTACAGCTGTTTATGTTTTTAAACCCATTTTGCACAAAGAGACATTTTTTGAAAAATGTATTGACAGCAATGTTGAATATTATTACACAGGAAAAAAAACAACTACATGTAAAATAATCACACCATGAGCCTCTGCCTTTCTAAATGGAGGGACAGTAACTGCGTGTGTAAATGTAAGCGTGTAAAACCTGAAGATAGAGACAAAATACTGTTAATCTGACTATCTGCCAGCCGGTGATCGGCTGTGATCAGCTGATCACGGGGCCGGGTTAAAAGAGAGACGCCACCCACCTGTTCGCCGCTCAGACATCAGTATCCTCGTGTCACGAGCTCCGAAACTCTGCCGACGTCAGTCTCCGCCTGATTCAGCAACTGTGAGTTACAATCCCTTTCAATCCTTTTTCTCTTCCCGGCTCCGCTCGCTCTCTGTCTGTAACGACCGTTCCGAAGCCACGCTTCGTGCTCAGGTCATTACTAGAATAACTGCGTGTCTGCTCCAAACCCACCGCTAGCCTTCGCCGCGCTTGGGTCTAGCCAGCACGCCACACGGGCACGCCGAATTACTGTGTGCGATCCGCCCGGCCGTGACACTATCTGCCAGTCTGCAATTCATCTCATGTAAACAATAACGTGGCGCACAGCTGACGTGAAAAAAGGCACATACCTTTGACGCTGAGTGACAAACTATGTATTCCTCGTCCACACGTAAACGCAAAAACTCAGTTTTAAAAAATCTCCGTTTTTGGTGATTCAAAACGCCGTTTACGTGTGGACGAAACAGCTGCGTTTTCAAAAATACCCGTGTAGGTGCGGACATAGCATAAAAGAGTTAGTAGTTTATTTCCTTACTACCTGCAGATTACTTGTATTTGCTTAATTGTTTGCTAAATGTTTGAGGTGTGAAATAAACCGCAATTGAGCAAAATATGGGTGCGAACATTTTTCTTGTAAAACAAAGGGGGGCCCAGCGAAAAAAGTTTGGAAACCACTGTGATAGATTAACCTCAGGTAGTTAATTTGGTTTCATTAATTCAGTTTATTTCCACCAGTTCTTAATCAGAAGCCCACAGTAATGATTCCCACACTGACTGAGGGACAGCAGGCCACACTGACCTGCACTGCTCCTGGTCTCTGCTCTGGATCTGTTCCTGAAATCACCTGGACATGGAGAGGAGCAGGAGGGACTGAATCTTACATTACAGGAAACAGCGTGGATTTTAAGACTGAGAATCTGACTGATGCAACACAGAGACACATCTCAACTTTAACCTTTAATCCTTCAGCTGAACAACACAACACCACTGTTACCTGTAAAATCCACTTCACATGTGAAACAACTACAGAGGAGGCTTCAACTTTGAAAGTAAACTGTGAGTTCTTTTACAGTCTCATTGTTTTTGTTTTTTAAATCTACTGAAGTTTACAGCTCCATGCAAGCTTTTGCAAGAAAGTCAGAAGTTAAGGAAAGTACATGATTATGTACTTTATATTTTTTGTCTCACAGATATGAAGGAAGTTGAAGTCACTGGGGTGACAAGTGTGAGGGAGGGAAATGTTCTGAATCTGACCTGCAGTGTTGAAAGTTTCCCGCCAGCTCGTATTGTGTGGAAAAAAGTTCCTCCCAACACAAACCTTCAGACTGAAAACACTGACCTGCACAATGATACTGGATCTGCTACACTTGTCAGCCCGAATGTGACAGCAGAAAATTCTGGGCAGTACATCTGTATGGCAAAACATCTGGACAAAACACTGACTTCCTATGTCAATGTGACTCTGACATGTAAGTGGATGATATGAATATTGAATCTGAAGTTCATATTTGCATGAAAATGACATGTTACATGTTTATAGGGCATACAAAGATACAGGATGGCTCTGTATGTGTGCTTCAGCCAGAGGTTTTGACCTGTGTGTGTATTAGTGATGGGTCGTTCGCGAACGAAATGGCTCTTAGAGCCGACTCTTTGAAGTGAACGAGGTTTTTTTTTTCTTTCTCTCACCCTCTCTCTCGCCCTTTTTTCCCCCGCTAAACTCTGCATGCGCGGCCTGTACTTTGCGCTGGGCAGAGGGGGGAGGGGCGTTAGTTACACTCGCAGTAGCACAGGAACAGAGCCAGAGGGAAAGAGAGCAAGGGACAACAACGTCACATTAGAAAGGTATAGTAATCATCCACTATTTTCAGTTGCAGATGATAAAGGATTCAGAAATCATGCAGGCCCATATGAGAAAATGTGCATCTTCTTTTTGTTTTAATATTTTAATTTATATTTAATTGTGTTGTGTTTTGCAGTCTTTTGTGTTGTTTCACGTTAAATTTGTTTAAAAGGAAAAATTGAAAATTTAAATAGTTAAAAGTTTAAAATGTTTTTTCCCCGCTAAACTCTGCATGCGCGGCCTGTACTTTGCGCTGGGCAGAGGGGGGAGGGGCGTTAGTTACACTCGCAGTAGCACAGGAACAGAGCCAGAGGGAAAGAGAGCAAGGGACAACAACGTCACATTAGAAAGGTATAGTAATCATCCACTATTTTCAGTTGCAGATGATAAAGGATTCAGAAATCATGCAGGCCCATATGAGAAAATGTGCATCTTCTTTTTGTTTTAATATTTTAATTTATATTTAATTGTGTTGTGTTTTGCAGTCTTTTGTGTTGTTTCACGTTAAATTTGTTTAAAAGGAAAAAATTGAAAATTTAAATAGTTAAAAGTTTAAAATGTAAATAGTTGTTTTTTGTATTATATGATTTATTTATTAAATTTTATGTGGAGTGAATAAATAAAATATATTTATGGTGGCCCTTAGAGACAAAGCATGTACAAACTCCAAAACACGTAAAAACTCAGAAACACGTAAAAACTCAGAATCATGTACAAAAGACAACAGAAGTGCTCCAGAATGCTAGGCGCAGTGTTGAGCTTTTGTTACCTAGTGGCTACACAAGCCAGGAAGTATCAACAACTGGATTTGGTGTGTGGTAGTAACACGTAAATGAACTTTTTTTTTTAAGTATTTGAATAAATATGAGTGCTTGTCTATAAATACACAAACAATACACACATGCTTTCAATTGTGTAATTTAAGTGATCTGGGTAGCTCTGTTTTGGAAGTTCAGTTAATGCTTGAAATGTGTTTTTGAGTTTGTACGTGCTTTTTGGAGTTTGTATATGCTTTAGAGTTTGTACGTGCTTTGTCTCTAGGGGCCATATATAAACATATATAAATAAAACCACTTTTTTTTACATTAGTAATTCCTTTTCTGCATAATTTTATATTATTGTTAATGATAAATTAATTAAAGCAACAAAACAACCTGAAGAGCCGGTTGGGAGCCGAAAGAGCCGGATCTCTAAAAAGAGCCGGAAATCCCATCACTAGTGTGTATCAGTGAAGGGTTTCCTTTACCTAACATCAAATGGCTGCTCCTAGAAAACCACACTCAGTATACTATCATTACTATTGTTTCAAACAACACAGTCAACAGCACTGTCAGTCTCACTGTAAAAAACCATGGCAACAGCACTGTTGGATTTCTTAGCAACATTGGGCATGTAGAAGAAAGAGAGAATCTAATTTCAGTACTGGATTTTTAATACGATCTCTGGTTTGCATGTGCTACACATAATTCAAAACAACATAAACAACAGCACTTTGTCCTTTCCATATCATTTCCCTCAAGTGCAGAGCAATTATCTAGTTTTATTTTAGGATTCCTGAAAGTCTTCATTGCCTTTTTGACTGGGTTTTTTTTTTCAGTAATCGTGCACTGTTTGGTCAAAAATTGCTACAGGTACAACAGTAACTTTAATAATTATTATTAGGTTTTGTGTGAAGATAGATTTTTACATATATTTGTAAACATATTCTATAAAACCTGAAATTTCTCCATGAAAAAAAGACCTCCAGAAATTCTGATGAGTCTTTGGATATGGATTTTTGTTTGTTTGTTTGGATACTAATAGACTTGGATGACTAATTACCACAATCTTTTTTTGTTTTCTATAGACCTTATAGTTTTTTAATATTGATCTCTACCAAATGGTTGAGATATCACTTAATGGTTTACTTATACGTTATGTAAATACAAGTACAGTAGATAATACAGTTGCAATAAATGAAATAAAATACCAAATTATATTGAAATTAATAACAAAAAAACTATCCAGAGCATTTATTTCTGCCACTGGAGCTCATTTATTTCTAGTAGTATGCCACAGAACATCATTCCAGCAAAGGAAAATATTGTATCAAACAACAAAATTGTGCATTTCTAATTTTTTAACATTATATGCATCTCTGTTAAACTTCAGCAGCAGAAAAGTCTCACATTCAGGACAATAGTGATTGTATCACGTGCTGCAAAATCATTTGTACTTTCAAAAACAAAAACAAACAAACATCCAAAACAAAAATTTGAGTAAAGCATTAAACATTTCTCGGCACCCTTCTACACACTAAGTATCAGTCACCGGACACATGTGGCTGTTAAGCCACTCAGCTGTGGCTCCTGGAAACACTCAAATAAAAAAAACAAATTAAAAAAAAAAACGTGTGTGTGTTTACATATATAAATATGTGTTTGCATGTGCTCTCTTCTGTCTTACAGCAGCTCGTGTGAAACACTGTGGTTCTTACAGTGCAGTTCTTCCCTGGATTGTTGCTGGTGTATCTCTCACTTTGAATGTCTTCTGCATAACCTACATATGGTTCCTTTGGTATGTTTCTCCACATGTATTTTTATGTTTTTTTGACTCTTTGAATGCAGTCAAGACTTTTAGATGATAATGGGCTTCTGTTTCTTCTTATTAAAGGACTTCAAGAAAAAAGGGGAACCTACATCAGGAGGAGAGAACCGACATGTCACTGCAAAAAGCAGATGTGTCACCAGATTATGATGTTATTGCACACCATATAAACTAAAAAGTCAGGTTTCAGATAGCTGTGTGATTGTAATGGCAGCCTGTAGTCAATACTTTGGTGATGTACTTAATTTAGTTTCATTGTCTTTATTAAAGCAGATACTTTGGTATTACAAATTTTATTTTAAATTAGCTATTAAATTAAAGCTTAATATTTGTTAATTTTTTACATTCCATTGTAAATAAATGAGATTGTTTTATATGTAACAAATTACACTTTCTATTTCAATTTATACATAGAGTTTAATAAAATTGTTCACCTGTCTACAGCTGCAAATTGAGCTTTTTTGTTCTTTTCTTTTATCTTTGTAAGTTCAGCAGGTTGTAGCTAACAAGGCTACAATTATTCTACCTCTTTATGGATCAAATCAGTTCACTAGCTCTCTGGGGGTCAGTCAGTTATAGCACAGTTTTTCTACTGTTCCTCTTTGCCATTGTTGTAAAATGTGGCATGGTGGAATAACTGACAGAATCTCCCATGAAACATTAGGTGAGGAATATTTTCCTGTTCAATTATTGGACACTTTTGTTTGCGTTTGTGTAAGATATAAGCCACAGTGGCAGTGGAGATTTCAGTAGTCCAGCTGCCAGCTATTTTGAGTTGATTACTGGGAATAGTTGATTGGTGTAGCTTGTGGCCCTTCTCTATAAAAGGGAGAAAAAAAGAGGAGTGTGGAAGAGAAAGCAGGAAGGAGAGAGGTAGTACTAGTGATGGGTAGATGAGGCCTTGTGAAGCGTCTCAGCACATTCCCCAAACTGTATCGATACTGAGTCGACACAGTGTTGCTGTTTTGCTCCATACTGTCACCTGCTGGACCTTAAATATCATTGCAGGCAACTTACTTGAGACTCACAACAGGCACTGATTCAATGACCTAGTCATACTTGTATACACTGTAAGGTATTGTACTTTCCATGGAATCATTTTATATTTTTTACATTGCAAATATTATAGACATCTTTGAAATATATTGTGAATGACGTTAAGTGAAAATTAAAATGAAGGTATTGTGAATGTAACATTACCCATTTAAATGTATTTTACGGTGGCCCCTAGAGACAAAGCACATACAAACTCCAAAACACATGCAAACTCCAAAACACTTGCAAACTCCAAAACACTTGCAAATTCCAAAACACTTGCAAATTCCAAAACACAATGGAAGTGCTCCAGGACGCTAGGGGCAGTGTTGAGCTTTTGTTACCTAGTAACTACACAAGCCAGGAAGTACCAATGACTGGATTTGGGGTCTGCAGCCTTAAAGGCTGCATTTTAAGGCCAATTACATCACAGCAACACGATGAAGGCTGTCCCAATTCAAAGGCTGCTCGAAATGTGGCCCTCAAATGCGTCCTTAATTGTAGCCTTCATGGCCCAATATATCCCAGACTTCATAGCGCTGTGGTGGTGTGGATAATTTTGCCGAAAAAAAACGGCGGAAGTGGAGCGGACGAAGAGTAAACTTTCAGAAGTAAGTACTGGATATTATGTCACTTATTTATGTGCAAATGTTTTTATAATGAAGAACATTAAAACATTACTATTGGCCACATGTCGGGAAAGTTATGTGACATTAGCGATGTCTGTACTTTCAGCGTTAACTTGGTTTTAAAGCCTTTACTTTAAAATATATATATAGTCGACCTTAATCTTACAGAGAATGTGATGATTTTGTGGATAATTAAAGTCAGTCATATATCCACAAACACAACAAGCTGAAAGTCAGTGATGCTGCTCGGTTTGCAGTCCTGAATATCACGGCACAAGCAGGATTCACTGCACTGTTAATGTTAGCTATGTTATATTGCTGCCTCTGTTCGGTGGTGTCGAGCCAAACGGACTTTAACGTGTGTTTGAACGAGCTGACGGTTCACTCGTTAAGCTGAAAGAAAGATGCTTTAATCACAGGAGCCACACATGTGTCCACTGCACTATCTGGGAACTCTTCTTGTTTCGTAATAACACAAACACTAAATCCTCCTGTTTGTAGTAGTGTATACACCTGAGACTGTCACCTGTCTGTCTGTCCTGCACTCTCTCTGTTTCTTTCTCTCTGATTGTGTAATAAAAGTATGAACATTCATTTATAAGTCACACTTGTGTTTGAATCCTGCAGCTTATCACACATTTGATTTCCATGTGTGACAACTGCAAGTGTCCAGAGTGAGGACAGACTGAGGGACCCACTGCTGCACATCATCTGTGAGGCTTTGCACCCCTGATGATCCACCAGGACAAACTCAGCAGTGTGTGAAGAAGAGGAGGAGGAAGAGCCAGCAGCAGCTGACAGATGGAGAGAATAGACAGACTGTTCCCTGTTTGTGAAGGACTGCTAGGAAAGTTTAACATAACTGTCTGTCCTGAATCAGTCTTATTAAGTAATGTTCAAATAATTTTATCCTCCCAGTGTTTTCAGTGTGGGAGAAGTACTCAGGGCCTTCAAGTTACACACTATGAAAGGCAGCAACAAGTTTAATATTCAGAAACCTAAAGTATGTATCAGCAGCAGAATGGAGCTAAAAATAAATGTTTGTTTCAGTTCTATGAAGCTTTGAGTATTTTGGATTAGTAGTACTGCTGTGTTTGTTGCATCATATTGCTGTAATTGTTTATATGCTTTATATATTCTGAGCTAAGTTGATCTATAGTGTTACATCATATTCTATCAGGATGTTATGTGTTTGTATACTTTCTGCCCAGTTTGACCCATTTAGCAGAAGTCAGCCTGTTTAAGGCTCTGATATCTATTCTGTATGACTTAAAGCAGTTATGACATGGTCTGATTTTCTCACCCAATAAGGGAATATTTCATATATCAGTCTACTCTTCATTTGATCAGAAACAGTTTTCACAGCTTGTACGTTTTCTTTTTATAAATATATGTAAGCAATGAGCCAAATTTAGTAATGCCAACATACTGAAGGAACAACATTTGTCTCTTATATATGATACACCTATATATGCACTGTCAAAGATACTTGTCTTTGAGTGAAGATTTAAGGTGTTAAGACATATAAATAACTGCAACTTGAATCTGTACTGAAGCTCAGTATTTGACACAGAGTGCATGTTCAGTGCTGTAATAGCTAATAATGATTAATATAATAACTATAATATTGGCCATATTATATTTACATTACCAAAGTGATATGACTTTAGTCTCATGAACAACATCAGCTAATTCTTATTTACTAACTAATCTTGAAATAACTGTTCAGTACAGAAATGAAGCCCAAAAATCATGTTTTACTGTCCTGTGGTCTCAGCCTCAGATACTTATCAAATCACACAAAGCTCTTGTAGAAATAAACAAACAAATGAACAAAATATGTTCTCCTTCATTTCTGTCAAACCAAGTTGTATGACACGTTTCCAGCGGTTAGTATCACGGTTGCTAGGTAACCTGGGAAGCGCGACAGAGACTAGACCGTCCCATACAGACAAACTTGCCATTTATTTTGCAAATTGAGCTCAACACTGCCCCTAGCGTCCTGGAGCACTTCCGTTGTGTTTTGGAATTTGCATGTGTTTTGGGGTTTGCATGTGTTTTGGAATTTGCATGTGTTTTGGAGTTTGCAAGTGTTTTGGAGTTTGCAAGTGTTTTGGAGTTTGTAAGTGTTTTGGAGTTTTAAAATAAAATTCAGGACTGCCTGGTCAAAAACAGTCTTCCTAGATGCTTGATTTCAAAATAATAAAACATATATTAATGAAAAAAAATGATGACAATGCTGCTCAATGTCTATATAGGCCTAGCTGTGTTCATTCTCCGTGTGTTTGTCTCCTCATTTTCATGTGTGGCTCTGTAATGCCTAAACATTGAGGAGGTGCTTTTGTTTGTGTAAGAAAGCGCCGCAGAACAGATGCGACATTTAACCTGCATAAAATGTAATGAATACTTTACACTGCAGGTCACATTGCTGTTTTTCCTATTCTGATAGATTACACTGAAACAAAGACAGACAAACAGTTACCTTATTTGCAGTTAAAAGATTGAAATGATCCCACGCAGCAGAAGCTTTTCTTTTTCTTTTGGGCTCCATTTTTTTATGGAGAGATATGTATCATCTGTTTCTTTGCGAGAGTAATTTTGTTTTTGTTGTTTTGGTGGCGACACATTCCGTTGACAGATGCAGATGTGGTACCTTTTAAACACAGTTTAGAGCGTTGGCAATGAGCGATACAGCAGCTGTATCGATCACGCGACTTTTTCTTAAAGCGACACACGCACCGATACAGGTTTCGCTCTGTGAGCTTGATACATGTGCCGGTGCGTCAGTGTTGCTGGACCCATCACTAGGTGGTACAACACAGTTGCATCTGGTTGCAGCTGCAGACTCCAGTGAGAGAGAGGAATATTTTAAAGGAAAATAGATTTAACATCGCCTAAATGGCTTTGCTTTCATAATAATTACATTTTGCCAGAAGGAGTATTCATTTTAATTAGGATTTATGTGGATTTGTTTTGATAGTACAGAATAGGAACTTTTTAGTTTGCTGGATGTGTGTATTATGGAAGTTTAAGGAGGAAAGCTTACTCTGTAATTCGGAGTTAACCAACCAGATGACACTATTCAAGACCTAGAGAGGAAGAGTTTGAGAGATGAAATTCCAGGATCTGGTGTGGACACACACTCTATACTAATGCAAGACCTATTAAGGTGGGTGAAAATGTCATGTGAAGGCTGTGTGCAGGGAGGAATGGTGGTAAGGAGGACGCAAAGTGCAAACTAATTGAGGCAAAATGTGAAATTAAAACCAGCTTTAATGCTGAACTAAAAAGGAACAACACTGAAAGTTACAAAATAAACTCACATAGGCAGACAGAACACACATTACAAGATGAGGGTAAATCGCAACACAAACAAACGAAAACACGGGGCTTAAATACACAGAGGAGCAATCAGGGAATGGGAGACAGGAGGGAAACAGCTGGGGCGCATCAGGGCTGACGAGACAAAGGAAGCAAAACCAGACATGCTAACATGAGACACGGACTTTCAAAACAAAACAGGAAACACAGACTGAACTTACAGACAGACTCACAAGCAGACACTGCAACAGAGTAGTGATGGGATTTCCG